AACCTTGTATTCGTACTGCAACATAAGTCTACAGTAGCATGCATCCATTCCACTACGTTCTCTGAAGTCCTTTCAACCTCGAGCCACGACTAACCACAAGCTTTCATTTCTTCCTCACACCATCTCCTCATGTCACACTCAGCTGGGACGCCCAACTCACCGTTTCCCTCTCGATTCCACTCGAAGGCCTGGCATGAGGCGTGATGTACCCAGTTCGTCTTCTCAGTGTATGCCCAATCCAATCCAATCCATCTCCACTCTCTTCTGCATATCTGTTGAATGATAGGTTCTTGGTTGGTTCGTTGTCAGGCCAGAGTTCCTTATTGCATACTCTTTCTGGCCATCTGATCTTCAGTATCGAAACACCGTAGGCTGCAGCTGTTCACCAATGTCTGTAGTTTATTGGAAGTGCTTTTCGTGACATGCCAAGTCTCTCAACCATCACACAGATGAACTGACTTGACTGAAGTGGTGTTGAAAATCCGGATATTGTTCACGCTTTATGCTGAGTGGAGTGCAGTAGACCTCCACACTGATTTCAGATTAGTGAAAGCCTGTCTTGCTTCTCCGATCCTGGTTTCCACATCCTCATGTGTGCCTGTGCCACCGCCTGTAGTTGAAACGATGCTGCCTAGGAAGGTGGGTAGGTGAAAGAGACTACTTCCTCTAGGTTCCTCCCGTTCATGGTGATTGGTGCCTCTTGTTGTTGATGCTGTTGTTGGTTGAGTATCTTCATCACCTCCGTCTTCTCTATGTTCACCTAAAGGTAGTCCCATCTTCGCTGCCTAGCCTCTTGTATCAACTAGTTGGTTTTCTCCTGTAGATCTTCTAGTTTGTGAGACAAGACATTAGACATAAATCACCGTCGGCGGTGAAATCCAGATCTTCCTATGGGGTCTTTCCATCGGTCAGGGCAACGTATGGCCATCTTCTCGCTGCTCGCGGTTTGCTGCATGACCCAGTCCACCACAACCATGAAGACTACTGGTGATAGTAGACAGCCTTGTCTTACTCCTGTCTTCACTTCAGAGTTGTCTCTGAGCTTTTCATTGTGGATCACTTGGCATGTAGCGTCGTCATATAACTGTTGAATGAGATTGATAAAGGTTTTTTGCACTAAAACCGTAGTGTTGTAGCAGCTGCCCGCCAAGTTAGTTCTCGGTTGACGCTGTCGAAGGCCTTTTCAAAGTCGATGAACTTGAGGTAAGTTAGAAAGTTGACTGTTCTATGATGATGTATAGCTTTGCAATTTGATCCACACATGATTTGTTCTTCCTGAAGCCAGCCAACCAGCCTGTTCCGGTCGTAGTTTTGAATCCAGCGCACCCTTTAGTCTCTGCAGGATGATGCGGCATAAGGGTGACCAAAATTAGAAGCGGTACTTTTGTGATGTCTCGGACTATTTGTAGAAGGTATAGGGTGGTTTGCTGGAGAAATCAAGATGATCAAAATGGATGATTACGGCTTCTGAATTATAGGACTCAAAGGAGATCATAATGGTGCACATTTATCTACTTTTACCTGCATGAGGATCTTTTTAGCTTTCGTCTGCGCATTATCTCTACTTTCATGCTGTTTTGTCTATTTTAGTGTCATTCATTTTGGATTCACTTTTTGCATGTTAACTTTAGGTGCTGCAACATGGTCTAATTTAATATTTCGCAGGGTTCTTTGTTGGTTTGTCTGATGGTTTAGAGAACAGGACTCCATGTCATATTTACCTGAATAAAAAATAAAACAGATAATTTTTATTCAATGGTGCAGAGATGCCAAACAGTTCATCTTCAGGGTTTCTAACACAGTTTGAATGTTAAAAGCATGAGATCAACTTTTTAAAGTTCGTGCATCAAATTTTAGATAATTAAAGTGATATTGGTTGGACGAATTGGATAAACTGATTGAAGTCACTAGTGGTAACACTGGGGAAAAAAGCAGGAATAGGCCCTCTCACCATTTCTGTGAGATCATACTAAGTGAGTTTTTTCGGCAATGAAGTGGATATAATCATCATTATTGACAATAAATCCACTCGTAGTAATTCTTCAGTCTACTAGTCTCCACACAAATAATCTGTAGTTTGGTTGAAAACCAATATCCTTAGAGTTTCATTGCAAAAACTACGAAAATAGAAAGGAATAATCATTCTATTTACATGGTTTCTAAAAAGTCAGTCTACTTCGAATATACTTAAGTGATAAGGTAACTCTGTATGTGTTTATCATTTCACCTGGTTCTGTGGAGTAAGTTATGTTAGCCGTACTTAGTGTCAACTTTCTAAACGTATTTTAGAACACACAGAAGTCTGGTTCCACAAAGGAGAAAGAAGAGCACCTTGTAACTCAATTTTTGAACATTTGGTCGATTCTTATGACTTAATAAACTCATAAAACAACTTCAGTATCATCTTTAGAGTTTTGGCGAGCCTCATGAGAGAAATGCACCTGAAGCTTCTTCAAACTGCGGAAGCTATGTAAATTCATATTATGAAACCTCAAACTCGCATTTTAAAGGGGTTTTTCTAGTCACTGGAATTGCAGTGGGTATGACCTGTAAGGACAGATTACTCTCAAACTTTTTTCTTTCACCTACTCATGCATCACATCCTTCACCCTTAAAATTCTGATTTCTGATTACATTCTTTAAACCCTGAAACCACATTACATCATTTAACTTAGTAACTAAATATTACTTCGGTCTTGATAAGTTTCCTTGTCATGACTACTTTAAACTTTTGGTAGTTCTTTTTCCGATTTCCTGATTTATAATCAAGACTGGATTTCATTTTTTTTTAAATAATTTTTTAAATATTCCTTTTTTTATCGCCAGGCAAATATATTATTTATAAGCGACAGCATAGCTTAAGAATGATATCCCTGGAAAGGATAACTCTTCGATGAACGTCGTTCGCTTTACGACTTAGTGGGGATTTGAAATTATTAATCAGTACTTCTTATCTAAGTTGGTATCATGTTTTATTTATGCTGTTGTCTCTGTAAGTAAACCTACAACTTTTAGCGAATACCTACCCATATATGGAAAACATATGGTATCATAAGCATTATTTGATTTTATATTATTCATAATGCATTAAAAGGCAACCTTTATAGAATGACATCTCGTTTTCCAAAATATGTGACTGTAAGCCAGTAGTTGAATATTAATAATGTTCATTCGTTTGAAGTATAGTGAGATCAAATTATCCTAAGATAAATTATTGTTAAGTGAGTGCTAAAGCTATCACAACCATTCACTAATTAGTCTTTTCAAATCGTCCAAGTTCAAGCGGTAAGATACCGATGAATATATGTGTTTCCTCTTATATGTAATTGACAACAAAAGTAGGTCTAAGAATATAAATTATTATATGATCAAACCGATATTTATCAGGCTGCATAATATGTCAGTAGTAAGGCTAAAACACTGAGGTTACTTTAATAATAACTGCTTCATTTTGTCGATCTGCACTGCAGGTTTCATCCAGGAAGTATTTTTATAAGGGTTAAGCATAATCTCCCACTCTAAAAATCAATACAAGCTACTAAGGCTGAATAACCAGTAAATATTAAAGAATATCACGTTGCCTGGTACTGCAGGGTAACCGATTTCTATCAACCAAGTTAAACACCGTAATCTTTGAGCCAAGTGATTCAATATAGCAGCGCACTATATGTGATAAAGAAATTTAAAAAATTTTGAGATTTATTATCTTTTACCACTTTCACCTGTATACACTCCACATTCAACAAGTCCATACGAAGTAATTGATGATGAAGTTTCCTAGCCTGGTGATGAAAGACCTTAACCTCAAGGCTTGAAAAACACCAAAGTATTATCATCTTCATCCAAAGCTACAAATCTTCATTGTTATCCCAAGTCTCATAACTCAAGACGACAGCAATTTATCTACTGTGTATTGCTTCAAGGTATATTGACTATTTGGTGTGTGGATAAGTTGTTCCCTGAAATGAACTACCGATGAAATGACATTATTGTATTTTAACCATAATAGTTACAAACACATTTCAATGATAGTAGAATTAAATGAAGAATATTAAATAAATAGTTGGAGAAATAAAGCGTTCATGTACGAAATTCAGCTGAAAATCAATTCTTTTCTCATCTGAGCTATTTGAATAAAGTGAATTGAGAAGTATTTTTTAGAAATGAAATAAACCTACCGATATTTTGACAATAAGTATAAAGGTATATTTTGCAAAGACAATCAAAGAATTCTGTGAACGAAATAATATATAATACCAACATAAACCTCAGATAATAAGAGTTGCATCACCAAGGCTATCGCAAAGGTTTAGATTGTTAAAACAGATTGTTTTTTGGACATGATAGGATAAGAATTGACTGAAAAGAAGTAACAAAAACCTAAATTATATAACCATGTTAACTATTAATTGAAAGTCCAAGTTCATTTCTATTGTATACATTCTGTAGGCTTCGATTTACATTAAATTGTCTCTCCAAGACCCATTTATCTTTGTCTAATATTTGATTTTAATAAATGTAACGGAAGAGCTAAATGATGCGGTTTGACATTAAAGTGCCACTGCCCACTATATGAACATACACAAAGCCGTGTGATTTATGACGCACTCATGTAGCTGAAATATTCTTGTATTAGAAGCAACATAAACATAGTTCTGATAGCGTTTTTTGTGAGACATTGATCAACGAATGAGAATTATTTAAATACCGTTTGTAAAATATGATCTAACCAATTTATAAGATTGTGCCGATTTCTTCGATAGATCTGTTCACTTGACTCCCCAAAAATGAAGTCTTGCCTTGAGAACGAAGTTATAAGTTCAGCTTATAATCTTGTATGTTAACAACACTCTCTAGTATTTTGTAACAAAAAATAGCAGAAATTTATAACCCACAAGCAACAGAAAAAGTTAAAGAGTTTAGAAATCACGCAACAGATTCACAGTCACCCAATACACTTCAAGAATTCAAGAAATTGTTTCGACGATTTGTGTCAATGTATGGCGAGGTAATTCATATAAGTAAATTTTAAAAACATTCTTTAAAACCACATACAAGTCAGGGTATTTTTGTAAATGTCTAAATTAAGTTACACTCTCTGAACACCTGAACCCTGTAATTAGCCAAAACTGGTAATATCGCCCTACGAGCTGTCTCGAGTCAAAAACCTAGTCAAGTATGGTCTCAAAAGACTTTTTATAGGGTATTCAAAGTTGTCCATAGCTATAAAATGATGTAACAAAAAACAACATACATTAAAAAGGCCGAAATATTTCACTCAGAAATCATAAAACTAAGGTCCAAATTGGATTCGATGTGATCATTAGTCTATAGAGCTTAGACTCACTCTAGTCTTTCTTTTTGTTTCTGGTTGGCTTTAAGATAGTGAAACTCATGAATAGTGCATTACATTCAATTAGTTCTCATTCAACTTTGTATATATATCACGACTCAGTTATTCTGTAGAAATCAAAGCATTCAAAAGGCGTACCAAAGTTTTGAAAGACATTTTCCCAATAATAATCTCGCTAACTACGCTCGCTTATTTATCTTTTGAAAATCTCAATGAAACAGTATACTGGTAGCCTTTAAGTACTTACATACAACAGGTCAATACAATCTGGCAAAAGCTGGTGATTGAAGTGAAATAAAATTCTGGTTAACAGTTGGACCTCGTAGCTCAGTTAGTAGAGCACCGGGTTGGTAACCCGGTGGTCACTGGTTCGAATCTGCCCGCGGTCCAGATTTTCATCTCATCTTTAATCATCACCCAGTACAAAAGCTTAAATCTTTGAAATGCAGGTTACGCTTTCCGACTGAACGGTGTAAAGGGCAAGAGGGGATCATATAGTCTACAGAGAGAAGTAGATATAAACTGTCTTCCTTTGAAATTTATAAGCGAGAAGGTTAAGCTAAAATACAATAGAAACTTTTGAATTTTAACATTCGAATATATAGATGACTTACCCCTATTATGAAGTTAACTTCAAAACTGACACCCGATAGCTTAAATAAACTCGAATCATGTATGCTGTATAAACAAGACATCGATGTATTCACTCTTATATCACTGATAATCTTTCAAGACTAGATTAATAATTCTATTGGATTAGGAACTAAGTTTTCAATCAAAGGTATTTTTTTCCTCTTGTGTTCGTAGTGCAACATAGGGCTTCAGTAGCACGCATCCATTCCACTACCTTCTCTAAAGTCCTTTCAACCTCGAGTCACGACTACTCACAAGCTTTCATTTCTTCCTCACACCATCTCCTCCATGTCACACTCAGCTGGGACGCCCAACTCACCGTTTCCCCTCTCGATTCCACTCGAGGGCCTGGCATGAGGCGTGATGTACCCAGTTCGTCTTCTCAGTGTATGCCCAATCCAATCCAATCCATCTCCACTCTCTTCTGCATATCTGTTGAATGATAGGTTCTTGGTTGGTTCGTTGTCAGGCCAGAGTTCCTTGTGTATACTCTTTCTGGACATCTGATCTTCAGTATCGAAACACCGTAGGCTGCAGCTGTTCACCAATGTCTGTAGTTTGTTGGAAGTGCTTTTCGTGACACGCCAAGTCTCTCAACCATCACACACATGAACTGACTTGACTGAAGTTGGTGTTGAAAATCCGGATATTGTTCACGCTTTATGCTGAGTGGAGTGCAGTAGATCTCCACACTGATTTCAGATTAGTGAAAGCCTGTCTTGCTTCTCCGATCCTGGTTTCCACATCCTCATGTGTGCCTGTGCCACCGCCTGTAGTTGAAACGATGCTGCCTAGGAAGGTGGGTAGGTGAAAGAGACTACTTCCTCTAGGTTTCTCCCGTTCATGATGATTGGTGCCTCTTGTTGTTGATGCTGTTGTTGGTTGAGTATCTTCATCACCTCCGTCTTCTCTATGTTCACCTAAAGGTATTCCCATCTTCGCTGCCTCGCCTCTTGTGTCAACTAGTTGGTTTTCTCCTGTAGATCTTCTAGTTTGTGAGACAAGACATTAAACATAAATCATCGTCGGCGGTGAAATCCAGATCTTCCTATGGGGTCTTTCCATCGGTCAGGGCAGCGTATGGCCATCTTCTCGCTGCTCACGGTTTGCTGCATGATCCAGTCCACCACAATCATGAAGACTACTGGTGATAGTAGATAGCCTTGTCTTACTCCTGTCTTCACTTCAGAGTTGTCTCTGAGCTTTTCATTGTGGATCACTTGGCATGTGGCGTCGTCATATAGCTGTTGAATGAGGTTAAAGCACTGAAATTCAAACAACTTATGTTTCAGTAGACACACGGAATCACATCCTACCGTGTGTTTAGATCATTTCTAAGTATGAAGGTGCCTGATGGTTTATGCTTTTTTTTAACTTACTGAAACTAGTCAGTCTGCTTTGTTATTTATACAGTGGAATTCTACTCAAATTATGCAGTTTTTTGACAATTAGGAATTAAATTAATATTATTAAAGATTATTGACTGACAGTTATAAAATAAATTCATCTTTATTATCATAAATTTGTTCTTTTGGTAAACAGTATGAGTATATTACTTCAGAAACTGAGAAATGAGTTATCGAAGAGGAGATTCTTTACTCTCTGAAATGTTATTTGGCTCACAACAAAATCTATTGCCAGAAAAACTACACATTGATAGCATTGCATGATGTTCATACTACACTGTGATTTGACAGAAATATGAAAATGTCGACAACTGAATTTCATTCTATGGGCTGCAGAGTAATGTGCTTACCATGAAACCTTAGGTTTAGTGACTAAACAATAGTGAATTCGTTCGTGTAGAGTGTTGGCAAACAGTTTTTCAATGAACCTAGGCTAACAACAGAGGACCAAATGGCATCATTGCAAACCCTTGGAAGATATACCGCCATTTCTAGCTTTGCTTATAATCCTAACTATGCACCTTATTTGTATGCAAACGATTAAATACACTTTTGTGAACGCATCGTTTTCGAAATGAAAGAACATACTAGGACAGATTGACATTTCCTAAAGGAGGTTGCAGCTACCCTTCTGCAGTGAGTATAAAAATGTATCATACTTAAGTCAAGCTGGGTTTCTTTTCGATTGACTCTAAACAACATATGACGCAAATAAAAATATAATAATCGAAAGAAATATAATTATCAGACTTTTATTTTCCCTTAACTAGAGTCTGTATATAGGTGACGATACTACGTTTTGCACCAATAATTTCATTAATTTGCCATGTATACCTTTTGTTACATTTCTTTTAGTCTGTGTTTAAAGAACTGAGTCGACTTCAACGAATCATCGTACAAGCGAATGAAATTAAAGAACATTGTATTAAAAATATTAGTAAGGCGTCTAGTGCAATGTGAAATGGTCACTCTACCGGATGATCCAAACTCACCATTAGAATTCATGGAGCTGGTACGTCAAAAAAAAGCAACAATTCAAAATGCAGCCGAACAAATTGATTCATTAAGTTTAAGTGTAATGCAATCGACTACAGATTAATGTATTATTAGCGGATTTTCAAGCGTATATTAAACGAAATAACATAAAAACACATCTTTTGGAAGAAGTATGAGCGAAGCCTTTATTAAGTGAAGGTGTAAAAGATCAAACTTGCAAAAGTAACATGAATTTTTCACTTAATGGTACTAATTTTCATCAAAAACACTACAATCTATGAAGCAGTTTATTTGTTTTACTGTTTACTAGCAATCTGAATGGCTAAATATAAAAGCAAACGTAGTGTAATCCAAACTTTTATTTCCTTACAGGATAAGAGTATACGTTCTTTAAGTCATTTTGTGACAGATGAAATGCATCTACTAACCTTTTAAAAAGAGATTGTCATCTATCCCAGTGTTTACTGTCACAATCCTGTTCCACCATACCAAAAGGGTCATTATTTTTTTACAATTGATATGAAATGATAACACTCTAGCTACCGCATGTAGAAAAAATCTATCACATATTGGTAGGGTATTCACTGAAGACTATTTACTCACTTCCTCACTAAACCAATTCAATAAAGGTGAATGACAGGACAGTAGTGAGAGCGAGATACAACACCTGTTCAAGCTCAATGAATAGACTGTCTACTGACAAGACACATAGGATCATTTGCAGGTATTAAAAAACTACGGTTTTTGATTGATTCCAAGGTCCACCATAGGAATGACTGCAACAAGCGTAAAATACAAAACCCCAATCGGGTGACTTAAAAGGCCACCCTAGCAACTGATGAGACAGTTAGACTCCTCTATTTTGGGAAAAAGTACTTTCCCTGGCAAAATACTGAAGCCTAATTAGTCATTTCAGCAGTTACTAGGGTGACATTTAAAGTCACTCCCCCATTTGGTTACTTCACTAGTTGTTAGGACAGCCTTCAAAGTCAATCTACTTATCAGACGACAGCTTTGTGCAACACTAACAGCTGCGGAAATAGCCAGTCAGATTTCGGAATTTCAGCTGAGAAGGTAATCTTTATAGAATACAAAGAATTAATTGGTTACCTTATCAGTTGATGGGGTGGTCTTTACCTCTCCCAATATGGCCCTCTCATTTGGTTATTGTTACTATTGCTAATGTATGCTGTTTCAGAGTACTTGAGCACACTCACTTATTGGAGTAGGAATCAAAGTAGATGCAAAGCAGAAGTGACTTTAAAGACCATCATGACAACTGACGAGATAAACAGTTATGTTTTTCTACTTTTAGAGGGACTAACTTCCCAGCCAAAATACAGAAAACTGATGGATTATTTTAACGGTTGCTACCGTGGCTTTTAAAATCACTCCAAAACAGGACTGATATGATTTATGTCTTTTCCAGGAATTGACTTAAAGGTTATCACAGTAACCGCAACCTTTTTAAAGGTACCCTAGAAATCACTAAATAGCCTATCAAGTTTCTATATTTCAGCTGCGATGGCGCGTTCTCGCTGAATGAGAAAACCTAATTATTTATTTCATTAAATGTAATACCTGCATTTAGATCAAATCGCAGCTGTACGTGTCATGGATATATTTTTTCGGACGTTAATATCCTAACACAAGTAATTTTAAGTTATACTGAAGGATACGCTAGTAACCAAAGTTAAAATTAATTAGCCTTCTTCATTTTGTCCGAATAAGTAGTTTTCTTCATGCTACATGAAAGCTAATATGTTAATTCAGTGGTTTCTAAAGTGTGCTCCAGAGTCATTAACTTTTTTTCTATAAAGTCACTTTCTACTATTTTGGGTTAATTTGACTGTCATTTTTATCATAGATTGAAAGTCACCCTATCTTAACAACTAGCTAATTTGGGATTAGCACTATTCTTATTATAAAAGTAAAATCCCTTTCCTTCATAAGATGAAGCTAAGTGAGGAGTGTACATAAGGCCAAAGGGATAAGGAATGATTCAAAGGTTCTCATTACTTGTTCGTACTACATTAGTTGATCATTATCTCAGTTTTTGGAAAATTTTATCAAAAAATGTAGCAATAATAATCTGAACTGTTTGGGATAAATGCTTCTATGAATAAAACTAATTATTGGGGGACAGCTAATATACTGAATACAGCATCCAATACACCAACAGGAACAAAGTCAACTCTGATCTATGCATAGATATGCCAGATGCGTATGATATTAATATCTGACTTTCTGTTTCAAAATGAAACTTACAACAACAAAAATGTAATGGGGGATAAACAGGGAAGTGATTTCATACTTAATGAATAACCTCTCAATAAATGTTCAGTCAAATAAAGTCAAAACTCTGAGTTTACCTTATATATATGAAATTTATAGTTCATCTTGCATAGATGACTTCATTTGTGAACTTCTTATTTATACTTTTCTAGTGTAGCATATTCATCCGCGTACGCAAACGTAAACACTGAAATAAACAAGTTGGTCAGTTAGCTGATGTCAGTTATTTTGATGTTGGTTACCGAATATTCCTTTTTTTGTGCGCCTTTCTTTGATTATCCTATATTTGTATGCATATGGCAATAAAATAGTTTATATTTAAGCATAGTGGGAACTAGTATTATCATTATTTATTATCATTAATTAAACAATTACATGATCAGTGTTTAACAGTGGTAGTAATTTTTAACGCTACTGCTTGCTTGAAGTTGTATGTGTTGTGTTTATCAGCTCCATATAATTTACTTGTTATAAAATGATTATGTACTGATTTACTTTTTACTGCACATGCATTTCAACGTTGAAAATACTATATTGTGTGTGACATGAACCCGTAGCAGTTACTTAATACTGACGTTAATAAGTAGTATGAAAACGGAGAGAAACTTCCTAAGTTCATTGTAGAAGAAACTATGAGTTAAAACTTGAAAAGTTACTGGTTTGTATTCAGATCTCATTCAGCTGCAATAAATTTGAGTAAGACTTTGAGTTGACAAGCTTTCCTAACGCCCGCTGCATATAAGTGATTCAGGATTTTAATAAAATATTTAAAGTGGCAACACTCAGGTGATAGAGGCATAAACTTGATTACTTAACAAATTTGCTATGCACTGGAGTGTAGTTTAATCAACTTATACTACTTGGTTTTCTTAATCATACATCTTGTCAGTCAGAGTATGACTTGACAGTGTGGAATGAACAGTAGATGTACTAATTGTCTGAAAATGCCTCACGACTCTTTGAACGGGTTCCAGTCGACCACGCAACTCAATGACTTAAGGTGATAGATGCTATCAAGCATTAAAATGAAAGTATTGAGCGCCTTCTTATTTTTTACTTGGTATAGCTTCCTTAATAAGTCATTTATCTTTTAGTATCCACTCTCTTCCACCTTTTGAGTCATTTTAATGCTGCTTTATTATTTGTATGTCACATCTATTGCTTCTCAAGTTTGTGTTCTAACTAATAATAGTAATGTTAACTAACACACACTTTCCTAAAGAATAGTGAACATTTACATTTTGAACTGGACAATTGGACCAAATATAATCAAGTTAATTCGCAAGCTGGCTTTCTTATAATTAATGATCTCAATATCGTTATATACTGACTCGTAGCTAGAGATACTAATTTAGAGTTAAGCCGGTTTCATTAACAGATCACTGTGGTATCTTACAATAATTGTATGAATTCATCTTGTCACAGTTCACAGTAGCTATAAAAGGTAATGTAGTTAAATCATGTAATATATATCTTTTTAATATCGAAAAAGTTTACGGGAAAAAGACTATTCTGAAGAGCGTTTTTGTTGTCATTTCACGGTTCTGAAGCTACATAGTAGGAAACAGTGAAAATATTGTATTACAATAACTATGACGGGAAATCAGGGTGCATCTCTACTATAAATACTTCTGTCAAAGTTTAAAATTAACTGTTTAATATATTGAATTAATATGGAGGACGAAAGGTTGTATTAAACTGGATGAACAACCTACAAGTTACTAAGATGCCTTTCGATATGCGTCAACATTTCTTACTTGGGTATTGTTTTGTACCTACCTAACTGCAGTGTCAGTTGGATTTCCATTGCAACCAAACTGGTCAAACCCACTTTTCGCTGTCTTTGACAAAAAGTTTGGGAATTAAAACAAAGTGTAACTAAAAGGTATAAGAAATAAGATACTTGTGATGTCTCTTAGTTTTACTAACCTCTTAATGCAGAAGTGAGCACCAAACAACAGAACGTACAAAGCATGCAAAGTGATATCAGAGTTAGGTGCCCAATCATTTCTTTTAGTTTACAGGATTACTTAAATGCATCCACTTTTATCTAGGCTTCTTTAAGTCATTCATGAACATTTTCTCTTGTTATAGAAATGTCCATTGTTCAAGTTTTATCTTATTAAATTCCCCTGTTGTGAAAATTCAACGGGTTTCCCTATCCTAAGGGATGATGTCACGTTAAGAAACGCACCACAAAAAGCATTTAAGAAATATTCGTAATCATTATTTATTCATTTGTTGGTTCAGGTAGGAAGTAGATAATGTTATAAAACAAATTAAATATTTTACTTTGAAACGTAACAATGTTGTAATTTCACAGCTAAGTTTCATTTAATAAATTTGTCATTCTAACCTTCAAGTTTAAACGAAACATCTCTTGACCCTAAAACTGACAGAAGCAATACAAAAACTAGTAGACTTTTGGATATTCAGATTTATTTCTAATTGATGGGATTCCTTCATTTATTTTTTCTACCAGTAGATGTTCACAAACCTGTAGTTACTGTCTCAGATTTCGAAGCAACGAAAAAAAGTATCAAGTTCAAGCCAATGTTGGCGCAAACGTACAGCCTTTTAATGAAGAAGATACTCCATCACAGTAAGAAGAACAAATTGTCGTACATCCTGTTTGATTAAGCCCTAGGACACAGGCTAGTATAAAACTAGCTGTACAGATTACCTACTCTGCTGATGAAATTAAAGCACAATTAGGTCAACAGACGACAAATGCAGTTTGTCAAGCTGTACGTTCAGTTCTGGACAGATTATGGAATATTATGGCAAGCCGACAGGCATCAACGGCACTCAAAGATGTACCAGTTGGAAAGACCATCAAGTTTAGTAGGTTCTGCGCTTGTTTTTTAAAAATATCTAATTTTACCATTTTGATAAATATTGTTTCTGCGAACAAGTCACTCAATGACGATAAATGTGTTTGTCAAAACATAAGTACTTACCTAAGTCTATAGACCAAGTTTTAGTTATCGACAATAAAATAAGTGGTAACTGATTCTTAAGATTTGTATGATATTTTTAATCATTTTCAAAGGAGATGTATTATTAACATGACTAATTTTATTGAATGAGGATTTGAACAGTAATTTTAATGTCTAATTTTAATGTCTGGTGTGCAATTTATATTACAGCTGTGCTACAGATATCTTCTAGGCAAGCATTACATTCATCTGCTACACATAACTGAATAAATGAACAGATTTTATGTAGTTTTCATTCAAAATAGTCATAGAAACTTTCGAAAACAAATTACTTGGGTCTTAGCGTGGATATTTTAGTGGTTTAAGGAGGCTTAGAACCTCGCCTGGTTAACTAGTTTACTAGTTACTAGCCGGTCCTAAGCCCGGGTAAAGAGGGAAGGTTGGGCATAGGGCTAGCAACCCTACCCCGTAAAACAAATCTAACCGCTAAAGAAACTTCAAAGCACAAACAAAATATAAAAAATGAAAACAAACTTATTCCCCGCTGGAATCGGAGAGGCGAAATGACGCCAGTTGGTGAAAGCCTTCGGGAAGCCAATTGGCCGATGTGTCTTCTCTCGATGAAAGCGAAAGTAAACGTGGGGACATGGAATGTCCGCACGATGTTTGAACCCAGTAAGGCAGCCCAGATTGCAAAGGAGATGAGAAGGTATAACATCGAAGTGCTTGGGATTTGCGAAAGCAGATGGAATGGGAGTGGACTCTCCAAACTGTCAACTGGAGAATCAATAATCTACTCCGGTCACCCAGACGCCAACCACGAGCACACTGAGGGAGTGGCTATCATGATGTCCTCAAGAGCATCGAAGGCTCTCATGCAGTGGGAACCAATCTCCTCCAGGATCATGACAGCAAGATTCAACTCAAAAGGAAGAAAGGTCACAATCATACAATGTTATGCACCTACAAATAATGCAGAGCAAGAGAAAAAGGAGGAATTCTACAGACAACTTCAATCAACACTGGACAAGACGTCAGTTGGCGATATCAAAATTCTAATGGGCGACATGAATGCCAAACTGGGAGGGGACAACACGGGAAGAGAACTAACCATGGGTCGAGAGGCACTAGGTGAAATGAATGAGAATGGAGAATTGTTTGCAGAATTCTGTGCATTCAACGATTTGGTGATTGGAGGCAGTGTGTTCAGGCACAAAGATATCCACAAAGCGACATGGATTTCACCAGATGGACACACTAAAAATCAAATCGACTTTATCTCAATCTCAAGAAAATGGAGACGCAGTCTACTTAACACAAGGTCAAGAAGAGGAGCAGATGTAGGTTCAGACCACTACCTAGTGCAAGGAACCTTCCAAATCAAGTTAAAAGCCTTCAAGGAAGCTGGTGATAGACCTCAATTCAAGTACAACACTCGGAAACTGAAGGATGAAACTACAAAGGAGATCTTCAAGCAGCCATCAAGACAAAATGGGAGACGTCGAGGGACATCCCTGAAGAAACCTGTGTGGAAGAACACTGGAAGTCTTTGAAAGCTATGTGGAAAGAAACCTGCACAACAGTATTAGGAAGGAAGAAGGAAGACAAGGAATGGATCTCGACGGATACCTGGAAGCTGATAGAGGAGAGGAGGATGGTGAAGCAGAAGATAAACCAGTGCAAGGATGCTCAACGACAAGAGGAACTGAGCACAATGTATAAAACACTGGACAAAGAAGTGAAGAAGAGTGCACGCAAAGACAAAAGACACTTCTACGACACACTGGCAAGTGAAGCAGAACAGGCTGCAGGTAAGAGAGACCTGACGACATTGTATCAAATAACCAGGTTGCTATCAGGGAAGAGACCAACACAGATGAAACCAATAAAAGATGAAGAAGGAAATTTAATTACAAAAGAAGAGAAACAGAGGAAACGATGGGCCGACCACTTCAAGAAGCTCTTGAATCGACCACCACCTGCACTTCGTCCAGAAATACCACCTGCAGCCGCTGAACTACAAGTGAACATTAATCCCCCAACGAAAATGGAAGTCCTGAACGCCATAAAGCTACTGAAATGCGGGAAAGCAGCAGGACCAGATGGAATACCGCCAGAAGCACTGAAACAGATGCAGAGACAACAGCGGCCATGCTCACACCACTATTGCAGAAGGTGTGGAAGGAAGAGAAGGTACCTGACGATTGGAAGAAGGGTTACCTTGTCAAACTGCCGAAGAAGGGAGACCTCAGTGCTTGCAAGAACTGGCGCGGAATCACTCTCCTGTCCACCCCAAGTAAAATATTAAGCCGCATCATCCTGGAGAGGCTAAGGATGCACTGGATTCAAAACTACGACCGGAACAGGCAGGCTTCAGGAAGTACAAATCATGTGCAGACCAAATTGCAACGCTTCGTATCATCATAGAACAGAGCATAGAATGGCAATCACCTCTCCACCTCAACTTCATCGACTTTGAGAAGGCCTTTGACAGCGTCGACCGAGAAGTAATTTGGAAACTGCTTCAATACTACGGAGTACCGCAAACCTTTATCCGCCTCATTCAACAACTATATGAAGATGCCACATGCCAAGTAATCCACAATGGGAAGCTCAGTGATGCCTTTGAAGTGAAGACAGGAGTGAAACAAGGTTGCCTACTATCCCCCATGATATTCCTTATTGTGGTGGACTGGATCATGCAGCAAACAGTAGGCAGCGAGAAGAGGGGGATACACTGGACGACGGAAAAGAACCTAGAAGACTTGGATTTCGCCGATGACTTATGCCTAATGTCACATAAACTTGAAGATCTGCAGGCAAAAACTAACAAGTTGATAGAAGAGGCAGCGAAGACGGGACTTCAGGTGAATATAGAGAAGACAGAAGTGATGAAGATACCGCACCACCACCATCAACAACAACAACAACAAACTCCAATCACCGTCAACGGGAGAAACTTAAAGGAAGTAACCTCCTTCACTTATCTAGGAAGCACTGTTTCAACTACAGGCGGGACGGACGAGGACGTCAAAGTCAGAATCGGAAAAGCAAGACAGGCGTTCATTAGCCTGAAACCAGTGTGGAGATCTTCTGCACTCAGCATGCGGAACAAGATACGGATTTTCAACACCAACGTCAAGTCAGTGCTCTTGTATGGCTCAGAGACTTGGCGCGTCACGAAAGGTATTTCCAATAAACTACAGACATTCATCAACAACTGCTTACGCTCGCTGCTGAAGATCAGATGGCCAGAAAAAATAAGCAACAAGGAACTCTGGGAACGAACCAACCAAGAACCTATCACGCAACAAATATGCAGGAAGAAGTGGAGATGGATTGGCCATGCACTGAGAAGGCCGACTGAGGACATCACGCGTCAGGCCCTCGAGTGGAATCCCCATGGGAAGCGACGAGTTGGACGTCCGAGGGTGACATGGAGGAGGTCGTGCGAGGAGGAAATGAGAGCTTGTGGGCTGTCGTGGGACCAGGTTCAAAAGATCTCAGAGAACAGAGGTCACTGGAGGCGTGCTACTGAAGCCCTATGTTCCACTAGGAACCCAAGGGACTAATAATAATAATAATAATAATAATAAGGAGGCTTAGACTTACTTCTCATAGTTGACCCAACAAACTGTTCGAGGCATGGCTCAACTTCACTTCCTCTTCTCCTTCTTCATCCATGCACTGCACTGCATTGCTTCATATTCTGCTTCACCACCACCATCTTCCTCTCACTCCTCTATCAGCTTCCATGTATCCGTCAAGATCCATTCCTTGTCTCGCTTCTTCTCCTTCCTTCTTAACACCGTTATCCAGGTTTCCTTCCACATCTCCTTCAAAGACTTCCTGTCATCTTCCATGCAGCTTTCTTCACGGATGTTGCTCAATGTCTCCCATTTCCTCCCAATGCCTGGCTGACTCATGTGAAGATGTCCTTTGTAGTTTTATCCTTCAGTTCAGTTTGTGTTCTGGGTGTTGAACTTCAACTGTGGCCGTCTATCACCAGCTTCTTTGATTTTGGCTTTCATCTTCATTTTCATGGTAAGTTCCTTATACTAGACAATGAGCGGTGTGAACCACCTACATCTTCTCCCGCCCCTCCCCGTTCTTCATCTGATCTTGTGTCCAGTAAGCTTGCTGAGCCTCTATCTCCACTTTCTTCATATTGAGATCAAGTTGATCTGATCTTCAGTGTAGTGAGTGTCCTGGTGTCTGGGGAAATCCATCCATGTCGCCCGCTACCTTGTGAATATCCTTGTGTTTGTACAAACTGCCTCGCCTCCAATCACCAAATCGTTGAATGAGCAGAAGTCTTCAAACAGTTACTTCTCCATTCTTGTTCATCATTTCGTCGAGTGGTGCTTCTCGACCCATGGTTGGTTATCTTCCTGTGTTGTCCACTCCTAGATTGGCATTCATGTCAACCCACCCATCAGAATGAATTTTGATGTCGTCAAGTGGAGTGGGGTCTTGTTCAGTACTGGTTGCAGCTGTCTGTAGAATTCCTCCTTCTTCTCTTGATCTGCATTATTCATAGGTGCATAGCATAGCATAGCACAGCACAGCACAGCGTAGCGTAGCATTGTATGATTGTGACTTTCCTTCCTTCTGAGTTGAATCCATCTTGCTGTCATGATCCTGATCCTGATCGTGATGGTTGAGGAGATTGGTTCTTACTGCATGAGAGAGAGAGAGAGGGAGTCTTCGATGGTGCTGAGGCATCATGATAGCGACTTGAATACTCAGTGTGCTCATGGTTGTCGTGGAAGAGTGGGCTGATGAAGATTCACGATGAACAACAGCAACAACAGCAACAACAACAAGAAGGGGGACAAGCACCAGTCAGCATCGATGAGACTCTCCATTCCATAGTTGGTAGAGTCCACTTCCATTCCATCTGCT